TGTTTCTTATATCAATGGTAAACTTTAAATTTATGGTTAAATGCAACAAAATTAATTTAATAAAAGTAAATGAAATAAAAATAAATAAAAAAAAATTCCTGTCCCTGAGCTGATGGCTTGAAGTAACTGAGCAGTTTAGTTGGAGAGCTCAGTAATAATGTCTGAAAATAAGCTGCTTAAAGTCACCATCAAACATAAACTAAATCTGCCATAATGCAGCTACTCACTAGAAACTCAGTAAGTAAAACTTTTTTTGTTTTACTTTTAATAATATTTCTGTATTTATTTCAGATTTAGTCAGTCGTACACTTAGTTCTTCTCAGTGTTTAAAAGAGGACGTGTTAAAACTCTGTTTAGTCAAAGTTAAACATCAAAGTTCATTACAAGTGGCCCTTCGAGGGCCACCATAACGCTCATATGGCCCTCGGTGAAAATGAGTTTGACACCCCTGGTCTAATGGTTAGATGTGCACATCGTGTGCCAGCGGTACTGACGATGGTGAGCAGGCCAGAGGTGAGGCTTGAGATCAGGTCTTTGCCGGCTCGAGCGCAGACGATCGTGTTGTGAGCACCAGAAACAGCAGGACCGTGATCAGCGGTCACCATCAGACACATCTCAATGAACTGACAGGCGTAACGTGGCAACCTAGTCAAGAAAAAACACAAGTCAAGCAACCAAGTTTTTGGTTTACATTACAGAATATCATCTCCAGTCACAATCTTGGTAAAGTTTTCCACGATGATCAAACTAACCTGCGCTGGAACCAGAGCAAACCGAGGACCCCTCCTATTCCTATCTCCTCCTTGAAGACCTCGGTGATGGACATGCCAGCGTAGATGAGCTCCTGGCCTCGTTCATCACAGATGCTGGTCATGAATGAGGCTGGCTTACGAATCAGGCCCAACTCCTAAAAAATATTAAAACAAACAGCATATTTAAATAATTGTGCAGTAGTTTGGGGCAATAATTATAAAACTGTTATACAACCATTATTCATTTTGCAAAATAAAACAATAAGGATAATTCATGGGGCTAGATATAGGGATCACACCAATTCATTATTCTTTTTGTCAAAACTACTCAAAYGTACAGATCTTGTAGAGGTATAAACAGCACTAATAACRTTTATAGCAAAAAACTAATTATTACCAGGTAATATTCAAAAATTATTTGCTGAAGGGGAGGGGAGTTATTTAAGGAGAGTTTAACTTTAAATCAAGGTTTGTTCAAACAACTTGCAAAGGCTTTTGTATTTGTTGGTGGAGTAAAACTGTGGAACAGTCTGAGTGTGGAACTTAATGTCCAAACAAAAATTTTTAAAGAGAGGTATAAAAATATTATTTTCAAAAAGATATAGGGATGCTGAGTGTATTTGATTATTATTCTTATTTCTTTTTGTTGTTTTGTTTTTTTGCAATATATGGAGATGTTTGGGGCTGTGTATATATGTGCGTACATATGAGTATGTATACATTTTTGTGTGTATGCATAAACACTGCATTTAGATGTATATTTACGTTTATGAATATATTCTGGTATTTTAGTAGGTAAACAGATTGTTGTTTTAGTCTTTGAATTTGTGACTTAGAATAAGGAAAAAGAAGAATTCATTTTCTTTAAATAAGCTTTGGGGAAGAGTGGGATTAAATAAAATTTTTGTTACATCTTCCCATATTTGTTTTGCTTTGTTTTCTACACATTTGCATTTAGGCAGCTCCACAGGGCCACCACAGGAGATTCAAAGTTTTCTCAAACATGCATGAATGAGTCAAAGCAACACTCTGGGTATGTTTTTGATGAGGTCATGACATCATAACATGATAGAAAGCTCAAAAAGTAAAAGCGTTCTAATATTAGCATTGTAYGGTTCATACCCTGGCCCAGGAATAATCCATTGGAACAGTTGGAGGAGGAACCTCCTGGGCAGGAACGATGGTACCATTGGCCACCAATTCATCATAAACAGTCCTGTTTCAATATATTYAAACAATTATTAGTAACAAGTCTAAAATGACAAACTTTGAGGTWTAGTCAGGGACTGAGTTTCATACTTGATGACATCTCCCAGCTCATCGAAGCTCTTTGGTACAAAAACTCCAGCATCTCTCAGAGCCTGGTTCTTAGCCACTGCTGTTTCTGAGGCCTGGTTGGCACAAGCTCCTGCATGACCAAACTGAACCTGAAGGTGGCAGTATTACATAATGAAACATAAAACTCACAATCCACGAAAAAACAACAACATGGTTTTCAGCACAGCAAACAAACCTCTGAGGCAAACATGGTGGCACAGGTTCCAATACACCAGCACACCACAGGCTTGCTGATCCGACCCTCTTTAATGCCTTGGCAGATTTTGTACTCCTCAGTGCCTCCGATCTGAGTATCACAGAAAGAGAAAAATGAGACGTTGTCTGTTACAGACTGGTTTGTTTGGAGTAATTCCTGGAGGGACACCTACCTCTCCCAGAACTACAATCATCTTTATCCCSGGAGTGTCCTGGTACCGTAGGACGTGGTCCATGAAGGTGGAGCCTGGATATCTGGACAAGACCAAAAGAAAAGACCTAAATCGTAATGTTTCTGGTGCAATAGCACATCAGCTAAAATGAAATTTCTCTAAAGATTTCATCATTTTCTTACACAAAACAAAAATACTGAAAAAAAAAAAAAAGGGTTTTCATACCTGTCTCCTCCAATGGCCACGCCTTCATAGACTCCATCCGTAGTGCGAGAGATGATGTTGTTCAACTCGTTGGACATGCCTCCAGAGCGTGACACRTACGCCACACTTCCAGGACGGTACAGTTTGGAGGCCAGGATGTTGTCCAGCATTCCACCTGTGTTGCCGATCTTAAAGCAGCCAGGCTTGATGCCGCCGACCTGAGAGACGAGGGTTAAAGTCAGAGAACTGGACAGAAATGATCTGACAAACACAGGTGCACATCGAAACAAAAAAATATGTTTGGTGTGAAGCCACCTACTGTTGCAGGGCCAATGATGGTGACGCCTTTCTCATCGGCAACCTTGATCAGCTTCCGTGTCTGAGCTTCTGGGATGCCTTCGGCTATGATGGCAATTGTGTGAATCTGAAAACACAGTTAAACAAGTTCGATCCGTGCAAATTTGTCTGACCGCTGTTAACTTTCAGCTCGTACCTGTGGGTACTGCATGGTCTCCATCGTGCTGTCGAAGGCTGAGCGCAGAGAGGCAAAGCTGATGACGACGTCCACGTCCTGATGCTTCTTCATGGCATCACCCATGTTCTTATAGACAGGCAGCAGGATCTCTTTGTGGCCCCAATAAAACTTCTGCTTGTGGTCACCACTAAAGGGGGAAAATATATTTATTTTACCTGCAATTATTACTTAAGAAAAGTTAAAAACAGGTTCATGCAATCTCTACAGGTAAAGCTTTAAAAACGATGTGAAATACATAAATTGTCATTATTAGCAAATCTGTGGAGCGTAYAGCACCACAATACGTTGAGAACCTACGTGAACGGGTACACCATAGCGGCCACAGAAGGTTGGTCACGTGAGCAGACGTAGTCAAAATCTAGCATGCCCTGCACGGCACGTGTCTGCATGCCCCAGACTATGGCCTTGGTATGTTTGCTGAACAGCGTGGTGGCTTTGGCTGAAAARAGAAATAGACAAAAAGAAAAAGAGATAGATTTAAATCTGAACAGGAATTTCTAAATAAAAAGGGGAGTCAGGAAAACTGCAGCAACACAGATGCCAACAAACGGACAATGAAGGGAAGTTTGTCTGAGGGCAGGTGGAGGAGGCAAAAAACAAACAAAAAAAAAAAACACTGCATCACTGCAAAGTCTATATAAATTAAAAAAAAAACACCACCTGACATACTGGTAATATGAAACGTGCAGGACTTTAACCAGACTTTGTTTTCAGTTGTTAAACAATAAAAACAAACTCAATATTTAACACAGCTATAATTAAAAGTCACTCAGTTAATTCCTCCACACCCTCTTAGTCAGAGATTAATTTCAGATTTCACAACAGTAAAAAAGTTCAGGAAACTGAAGTTGCTGGTAGGTTAAAGAACATCCAACTTCATTCTGCACATCAGTGCAGCTGCATCACTGATTATACAACCAGCAACTTTGTCCTTGAAGGACTTATATCGAGTCTGCATGTGAACAAGAAGACTCTGAGCTCAGGTTTCGTCTGTTCTGGCCAAAGCTGTTATTCTTTCCCCACTTTCTTACTTGGTTAGTAATATGTTTTCATACTACAAAGTATTATTTGATTCTTTACTCAGTACTACCCTGAAATTATATTTTAACATTTATTGTTAGTCTCTTTATAATGGGCTCATATAAATTTTTGGGTTTTGCTCACATAGTTGTTTATCTTCTGCCTATTCCTGTGTAATTTTGTCTAAGAAATGAACAACACAAAATATTTATGACTAACATGGTTAGCCTTATTGAGAATACCCAAAGGAAAGCAAAGTTATTTAATGATGTTACTGATTAAAACCATCAATGTTGTGTTTTTCAGACATGTCCTACACATAATTTATTATTAATATTAACAAAGTATTTAAAAATAGACTTTCTATATTGGGTGTGGACAAGTTGCTGCCTTCAGCCACTTGTTTTGTGTCAACAAAAGGTTGTTGATGGTGGTGACAACCCTGCATCAATAATTAGTAGGTTTCAAATCTACTCAACAGYTATGCAAAGTACAYAAAAAACAAGACAAAACTGAAAATAAAGTGCCTGAAATAACAGCCCTAATGTTATGAGCTGATATAAAGATAAATCTCTGAAACAGACTACGGTTATTGTTTTGTCTCAACAGCTAAATATCATGTTAGCTTACAAAGTGCTAACACACATTTTTTCCGTCAAAAAGTAAGTTTTGTTACCGTTGGGGAATCTGAATTTTCAAAACTTGGCCACTCGTATCGGTTTTTCACTGCCTCATCAGTGACCCCAGTGAGGATGAACAGAGCTTTAAAGTACAACCTACAGTTAGGTCCACAGTTAGGTCCATATCCATTCTAGAGACATTTTCRTAATTTTGATTCTGCACATTACCACAATAAGTTTTGAACAAGACATTTCAGACACAGTTGAAGTTCAGACTCCACTTTAATTCAGTGGTTAAACAAAATGATTGCATAGAAATGTGAAGAACTAAAGCATTTATYAAACAATACCTTCAGTTCAGGGGCTCACAACTAATTGAACAAATGAAATATTTGTAAATATGTTCATTACTGCAGTGGTTTTCAGTTGCTGATTGTGAGCCTCTCTGTCTAGAGTTTGGTATTTAACAARTGAAATACTCAACTGGGTTGAGATCAGGTGACTGACTTGGCCATTCAAGAATATTCCACATCTTTGCTTTAATAAACTCCTGACTTGTTTGACTTTATGTTTTGAGTCATTGCCAACCAGTTTGGCTGCATTTGAACACAGAATGTCTCTGARTACYTCAGAATTCATCYGGCTGCTTCTGTCCTGTGTTAGATCATGGACAAACAGTGAMCCAGTGCCACAGGCAGCCATGCATCCCAGTGCCATCACACTGCATCCGCCATGTTTTACAGATGATGTGGTACACTTTGGACTATGAGCTGTACCACACCTTCACCATACTTTCTTCTTTTCATCATACTGGTAGAGGTTGATTTTGGTTTCATCTSTCCAAAGAATGTTCTTCCAGAACTCTGCTGGCTTTGTTTTTGAGCAAAGTTCAATCAAGCCTTTTTATTCTTGAGACTTATGAGTGGCTTKCAMCGTGTAGTGAWCCCTCTGTATTTACTTTCATGTGGTCTTGTCTTTATGGTAGATTTGGATATTGATACATCTACCTCCTACAGTGTGTTGTTCACCTGGGTGGCTGTTATGAAGGGAAATTATTCTGCAATCATCCACCACTGTTGTCGTCTGTGAGGATCCAGGTCTTTTTGTATTGATGAGTTCACCAGTGCTTTTTCTTCCTTCTTTCTCAGGATGTACCAAACTGTATATTTTGCTTCTTCTATATGTGTAGCAATTTCTCGTTATTTTCTTCTGTTTTCRCAGCTTAAAGATGGCTTGTTGCACCAACACAAAGAGCCAATTTGAATCTTTGACCGCATGTTTTCTCCACAGCACAATCTTCCAAATGCAAGCACCACACCTCAAATCAACTCCAGGAATTTCATCTGCTTATTTGAGAATGACATAATGAAGGAACGGCCCACAACTGCCCATGAAATAGCTTTTAAGTCAGTTCTCAAATTACTTTCGACCCCTTTAAAAGCAGGGTGGGCACATGTTAGGGAGCTGAACTCCTAAACCCTTCATCCAATTTTAATAAGAAAACTGAAAGTCTGGACTTTATGTCCATGTTCATTAAATAACTATAACTTAAATATGTTTCAGTACACAGGTAAAAGACAAAATCTGTGTCAAGTGTCCAAACAGCTATGGACCTAACTGTATGTGTTAACTTGTGTATCTCAAATCATGATAATTCTTCCATTAATTTTTAGGTTAGTCTAATTTTACATTCACCTAAATGTTAAATAAAATAATTCATTCCTGTTAGTCTGAAAGGGAACATCTCTTTAGGATGTTAAGTGAAACAAAAAAACACTCCTCTGAATGTGGAAAAAATACAAACTGACATAAACAAAAAACAGGTGGGCAGATGGATGTTAGAGGGTGGAGAAGGCTGGAGGACATTTTTTCCCGCTTTATTTACATCCTTCCATACCTCCACTGCAGCCTGAAGAAGCTTGAGCTTCTGTGACACCACAGGATGGAACAGAAATAACAAAATGAGCACAGAAAAAGAGAAAACAAAGAGTTTGAATTAAATGCATCTCCACCTCTGAACACACTTAAAAGCACTGTACCAACTGTGCGCCAGGTTTTAAAGAACACACACCTGGAAAAACCAGCAGAAGAAAGAGCATGCAAAGCTCAGCTGCTACAGGGCTTACTTTGCTGCATAAAGATCAATCTAAAATGTTTAAATCAGGTTACAATCAGGAGTTTATATCCCATAGATAGAACTTAACATTTGTCCAACAAAATAATCAACAGTAGCCCCAACACAGCAACACACAACTCGTTCCAAAGCCAATAAAAAAATGCTCTGAAGAAACCACCCATGAGCAAAAATCATTAACTTAGCTTAACTTAAAACATAAATAAATCAACATTTTAAAACATATATGTGTAACATACCTACATTTTTTTAAGATTGTGAAAGTGAGGGGTAAAAAGGGGCAAACCAATAAAACGCACAAAGGCAACCAATTGCAGTGCAGCATGGCACACCTACCACTTACCTTTCCAATCGCCTGTGACCACATTCTTCAGAGGCCACAGGATAGAATGAAGAGAGTCTTAGAAAAACAAGCATGAAAGAAATTAAAGTGAGTGGACAGTTTAAGCAGCAAAATAATGGAARAAAAGAGTCGAGTAAAAATATAAAAAAAGGGTTGTAGAACACATTTAGGAGTAGGGTGAAAGACAAGAAGCAAGGAAAAGAATAAAAATAAAAAAAGCAAAAGTGCATGAATAAATATGCAGACAAACTAATAAGCAAATACTAATGCCTCTGTGTTGATTACCTGGTGGAAGACCTGCCTTTGACTTTTTGGGTGGGGTGACGTCATTAGTGGCCTTAGCTTCAGAGAATGAAGCTGTTCTTGATGAAGCAGGAGTCTGACGGGCATCGCAGAGAGAGAATAAATACAAGAGACAAAAAGAAGACAAAGTGAAGTGTCCAACTAAAGTGGTAAGACCAGTACAGTTCTCAATGCTTACAGGGGCAGTAATCTGTATTTTCCAGGCATATAGCTCAAATATACAAGACAATCAAGTGACTATGTTACCTTCAGTTGTTATATCAAAAATTAATTTGAATCGTAGTCTATCTAAATAAAATTGGCCTCCGTCTCTTTAAGACCTCCCAATCATTTCTGACACTCCCAATTCAGCACATCTTCACAACAATGCTTTTGGGAAAGGGTGCTCTGTGAGGCRGGAGCTCAGCTTCAGACTGAGCTCCAGGGGGGAGCTTTGCACAAATAGGTGGTGCTTTGTACCAGCAAGACTTTAGGCAGCTCCACGTGGCTAAAACACGGGATTCAAGGATTCCTCAACCATGCATGAATGAGTCAAAGCAACACTCTGGGTATGTTTTTGACGAGGGAATGATATAAAGCAATATAAAGCTCAAAAAAGTTGATTTTGCACCTTCACTTTAAAGGGGCAATATCATGTAAAATCAACTTTTTTGAGTTTTATGTCATGTTACAATGTTATACTCTCATAAAAAAAAAAACATGTCCAAAGCCTTGCTTTGACTCATTCATGCATGTTTGAGAAATCCTGCAGTGTTTTTAGGCAGCCATGCTGAGGAGCAAAACGACAGGTGGGGACCAGAAACATCTTTTGGGACCAGAAACGCCCCTGGGACGTGTCTTTAAGCCGAACTTCCTCATCACGGAGCACACCTCCCCACCCCACACACCCCGCCCTTGACTCCTGCAGGCTCTTGGTAGAACGAGTGAAACTGAAACTGTCTGCTGAGCTCTTAACACTACTGAAGCTCTTTTCAGATTCAAAATACATTTGAGGAAATGTGTTTTCAGATGCCAAGTAGACTGCATCATAGCGCACGCGTGACCCCCGCCCCCACACACACACCAAAATGGGCGGGACAGAAGCAGAAGGTGGTTCTTAAAGAGACAGAGGCCAATTTCAAGGCGTTTAGAAGAGGAAGTGATGACAAGGCAAGTTTATTTTCTATTTAAACATAAAAACTACATTTTCATAACAACTAAAGGTGATATAGATACTTTATTATGGTATAGTATTTAAATATATGCCTGAGAAACACATAATAATGCCCCTTTAAATTAAAAAAGAACTATCTARACTAATAGCAAGTTGTTTTATATCACATATGTAGAAAACAGAAAACATACCGCTGCACTGTTGGCACTGGAATTGAGGAGGAAGTTGGCAGTATGAGCCGCCATCGGAGGCTGATTTGGGATSGGCCGGTGACCCAGAGCCATACCAACAATAGCCGTCATATGGGTCTCAGTTCCAAACACATGAATAGGAATACCAGTGGTCTTCCCTTCAGAAGAGAAGCATCATATACTTTTAGATAATGTATTCAATTTTTTACAAATTCTTGTCATTGGTTTTCATTTTAAAAGCTGAATAAAAATAAGTGTTTCACTCACCTACTTCTCCCATCACCCTCAGGCCTTCTTGGTAGTTGGGGCCCCCACGTCGTACAAATATGGAGACCTCATGCTCCTTCAGTGGACCCTGGTAATCTTTAATAGCCCTGACAATGCCCTGAGGAGACAGACCGGTAACAGACGCTCAGAAACTCTTCACCCACCTGAGTAGTTTGCTATTCCCATTAAATCCATTTAAATATTAACATGGAACTCAGTTTTATTTGGGGCAAAAGACAAAAAGGAACTTAGTGCTGCTTTTTAACATGTCTGCAACTATTCATCGTCAAGTTTTGGTTTTATTCGAAAAGCTGGTGTGTGTTTTTCTGGTGTTAAATTGTCAGAAGTTGGATTAAGAAACACGAACTGCAGCGAGTTCTCTATTCATCTTTTGATTACAAAAGGTTAAATATCAAGTTTTAATTGAGATGCACAATAATGGCTTGCACTGGTTTGCCAGCATGTGATAGTTGCAACTTGTGAGATGTAGTAGTTCTGACATACTGAAATGTGTAAAAAGAAGCAATGACTACAGTTTCAAATATATTCTTCTTGGCTTTGTTTATATTTTTGCATTTTGAAAAGTTAAACTTCAGCTTAAAACTTTGTGATGACAAGTGGTGATAACGGTTTCAAATAATCACCTTGAACGTGGCTGCTACGTTGGTGAAATTTGCAATACTTCCTCCGATGATCAGCACTTTTCCTGCAGAAGAAATAAACATGAGAATGTAATTTTTACGATTTTGCTGCGTCTGATACTTTGATGGCGGCCGCAAAAATAAATATTTGCCTCGTGACAACCTTCAGAACAAGCAGTCGCACTGCAGAAAAATATATTAAACACTAATTATTTACAACCATAAGGAATATCTATCCAAGTTGCTTTCTATCCCACCCTGTAGCCATTACTTTGTCCAACGTTTCTGACTTTCCTTCAACATGCACTGTGAGAAAGTCGAGTCTTTTCTCACCATCAGGATGTTTCTCACGAGTCATGAGTGACAGAATCGTTTTTGCGTAGTCGTACGTCTGCTGTTCACTGGGAGCACCGGAGTACTCGCCATAATTTGCCAGCTCATCCACTCCACCCAGGTCACAGATTGTGTCACTGAAGAAGAGATGACATAAGCAGTGAAAAGACGCGTTTTGATTTTGGCTGACCCTTTCAGTTTTAATCATCCGGACAAAAATGTTGAGGARCAGGAATTTAAACAGGCAAAACCCAGAGTTTGTGACACAGAATGTAAAATATGCAACGTGACATACTTTTAACATCTAAAGCTTCAAAACAAGTATTTAAATGTATTTAGCTACCTGTAGACCACTGAAGCACCGCCTCCAGCTACCATGGTCCAGATCCTGCCTCGTGGGTTCAGCAGGGTTAACTTCAAACTAGCGCCACTCTTTGCATCCAGATCTGCGATGTAGGCTTCCTAAAAGTGACAAAGCAGAACAATATAATGTGCAAACCCCGGAGGCAGACATTCTCACTGAAATATACAACACTGGTGGKTTTTTTTTTCTTTTTGCTGTTTCGAGACCATTTTGAAATGGCATTTGTGATTTCTCTCCACCTGGTACGCTTTTTGCTCATTGTATTAAACTGAGCTGACAAACTAAAAAGGTAGTTATTTGCAAATGTCTCAACATTCTTCATTTAGGCAGAGGACGGCATTTCAGGTGTTGAGTCATGTTATTGCTACTTTCTGGGCATGGTTTTAAGAAAAAATTGAAATTCATTCAAGACTTTGTCCACTCCTTATTGTTGCTACAGGTTATTAAGAGGGAATGAACAATAAAAATAAAACAAATGAGAGATTTGTGAGAAAAAAACAGACATAAAAGCTGAGATGACTTCTCAGATCTTACCTCGGGATAAGCTTCCCTGCCAAAGGGTGGAGGAAACTCCACGTCACCCCATTTAGCCTTACAGATAAAATCTGCTGTCGCGTCAATCTTGGCTGCCATGTCGAGGATGAACACTCCATCCTGAGTAACTACTGATTAAAGCAATAAAACAAGATGTTGATTTCATGCTGTTCCATAATCRTCAGCTGCTTCATCCCACTTATTCTTGCTTCTGTCATCTTTATGAGCTCAGGATAAAAGTTGCACAGAAATAATATTTACCAAGCGGGTTGATTTCAAGGTAGGTGAAGTAGAGGCCTTCAAATAAGTTGAACAGTCCCACAATAAAACTGGCCAGGACCCTTTAAGAAGGAAACAAAAAAGCAGATTATACTCCACTTAAGTGTTTCATAACTGAAAGCATTTCTAAGTCTAAAATGGGAAAAAAAAAGTTGAAAATATTTTTTCATTTGAAACTAAAATGGTAAAAGTTAATGTGTAAACAGACTTGTTATCCACGTTTCCATAAGTAAACAACTGTTGGCAAACAAATGTGCTCAATAGTGTCCAATATAAGAACGTTTTGCAATGCTTTATGTGTGAATCTTGTTTGACTTGGACAAGTCTTACAAAAATAAGGATTTTTTGAGAGATAAGGATGTTTTAAAATCACCGATACTGGTATTTTAAAACAAGGAAAACAGACTAAACAGATCACTGAAGGTCAAACTTAAACAGGACAGATAAGCTGTGCTGAAGGCTGGGAGCCTTTCTGGTGATGAAAAAACAAACAAACAAACAAAAAAACATGATAATAAATGTTGCAATAAAGCCAACATGATATTAAAGTGACTGTTCCTGTTGGATGTATTGCTATTTAATTACGCAGCATTTCTTATTAAAGTCCCATTTAATCATTAACTGGGTTGTAAAAACACGTTTTACAATTTCCTTCMCATTTTCAATTTACAATAAAATTCATCTTGTCAAATTGAAACTAAATGTTTAATAAATAATCAAGCCTATAAATAAATAAACAAATAAATAAATAAATCATACTCTTTCTTGTCATCGGGGACATGTGTGAGAAGTTGCTCTTTGACTTGGTCCTCACTGAGTTTCTCATCCACGCCAACCATCAGCTTCTGGGCCTTGGCGTCCACGTCACCCACCTCCACCCCTCCTTCGTGGTGGAAAAGTACAAAGTCACCCTCGCGAGCGGCGTAGATGCAGACATAAAACTCRTCTTCCTGTGTGAGCAAACGAAGGGTTAAATGCACAAAGATTTCTACAGATTATGTTTGCACAAGGCGGGACAGGCTTGGTGTTTAAGGGAGACAAGTTAGAAGAAAAAAGTATTGTAATAACGACACATTTTCCTCAAGTTGTTAAAATAATGTTGTGTAATTCACCCTTTGTTTGTTTCTTTAAGGTAAAATGAAGACATCAATCATAAAATCACTAACTGACCTAAATAAACTCAACTATTCATTATGCTGCGGTTTGTTTTAGTTTTTATGATGGGTCATGAGTATTATATGTAAATAAACTTTCAAAGTAAAAAGCATTTATTACCTGTGCGTGGGGAACAAAAGGCTCAATGAGGAAGTTCTTCAACACGCCCTTTGCCTTTCCCACCTAGTTAAAAAAACAAAAAACAAAAAAAAACTAAACATTCAAGTTACTTTAAACCTAAACAGTCACAAAAATCATGCAGAAAATTACATCATTTTTTTTGCATTATACAAAATAAGTAATGAAAAGTACACAAAGGGTCAGACATTATTTAAAACAAAGTCATGTAAACTATCATCACAAAGATTACTTTTTGATTCAAATGTTTCGGTATTTAACAGTTTCAGTCACTTGAAACAACTCTTCAGTAGTGCAAATTTCTTGCATCAGTAACTGCTTTAAAGCACGAGTCAAACTCAAGGCCTGTTGGTGACACCCCACCCAAATTGTTTTTGTATCAGTGGTAAACTTTAAATTTATGATTAAATGCAACAAAAACAGACAAATTTAAAAAAGGTGAGAGATAATATTTGTCCTGCCTCAGAGCTGTTKGCTTTTAGTAACTTGTTGGATAGCACAGAATGATGCATTCCAGTTGTAGCAGAACTTGAAATTATGAAGCTGGACTGATGTCAATTCAGAGTTGAAAGCTTTCCACTTTAAAACTTGCATTGTGATTGTACAGAGTTAAAATGAAAAAAAAAAAAAAAACTTAAAAGCAAAGAGTTTCATGGGAGGGGCTGCCATGTTGAAATGATGACGTAATGTGTTCTCGGGCTGCTCCGGTATGTTCGTGTTGCACCGACCGCTCGACTATAAACTACGACATCAGGGGGAGTTCCAGTTGAAAATTATCCCTCGGAGGTGGGAAACTGCGACCTCCAAGGACAACTGGAACGCAGGATTAAATAAGCTGCTTTAAAGCTAGCACTGACCATAAACTACATCTCCCATAATGCATGTCGATTAGTACTTTTCAGTGTTTATAAGAGGACATGTTAAAATGCTTTTTCTCTGCAGGAAATACCACGTAAAGCTCAGTTTTTGTTTGCTAGCCTTGCTCAGTTGTAGCATCAAAACGTGTTTAGTCGAAGTTAAACATGAAACGTCAAAGTTAAGTTAAAGCCCTTTGAGGGCCACCATAACGCTCACCTGACCCTTGGCGAAAATTAATTTGACAACCCTGCTTTATTAAAGCGTATTATCTTATTGTAAACTTAAACACTAATGCAGAGAAAGAGTGCAGTTCACTCACGGTGGTTTCTTTCATAAGGTGACCTTTGAGCCACTCTTTGACACCCTGGAGGTCCAGGTTGATGCCCACCAGCCCCAGCTTCCCACGTCGTTTGATCAGTTGATCTGGTTTCACCACCAGACGCTGCAGGACAAGCAGGAAAGGCCAGAGGTGTTGCATTAAAAGAGGTCAAGATTTGTATAAAAACTTGTGCAACATAAATTGCTTCCATCCACACACTGTCACATACATTTGTGAGTTTAGTCAATTGTGTACAAAGAGCTTTACAAACTCCTTATGATTTGATCAGAAAAACAAACAAAAAAGTAATAAAAAAAAGGGGCGACTAACTTCTGTCAGCAGCCATGGGTGGTCCTGCGTGAGGCGATCCCAGTCAGTCTCAGCRGTTACACTGGCATAACGAAAACGGTTCTGCACAGTGGCTGATGTGGAGATGTGCTTGTACAAGAACTCCTTTCCTGTCTGCTCTGATATCGCTTTCGCAGACATAGCAGTGTCGGATCGCACAGGACCTTTGGAGGACGGAAACAAACATTTTATTTTATTTTTCATTTATCCTTTATTTATACGGGGGAAATCTCTTGAGACTCATTGTCTCATTTACAAGAGAGACCTGTTACATACATCGCAACAACAATAACATTAAAAACAATAATAAAATGTACTTAACACTTCTAAGAATCAATACCATACGTCATACATCAAAAAAGAAAATAACTTTAGTTTGGCCAGTCCCACCAAAGATTATACAGTGGATACAAAAAAATAGAAATAAAACAAGGGTAAAACTTTTTATTTTACCCCAAATAAACCCAAAATAAAAAAAGTATTAAAAAAATAGAGTACCAATACTTCTTAAATTTAACTAGCATTTCAGAAAAATGCTGACAATGAGACATTTGAAGAATACCAGAGGAAATCAATCTGCATTATATTGTGCTTCCCAAAGCATTACAAAACCTCCACAGCAGCTGCAGTAGTGCCAACATACTTTTGTGACATGTGATAATACAACATCTAAAAGAAACCCAGAGAAACAGCTACAGATCCATTTTTAAATTGTGTTGATAGACCAAGTTAAACCAAAGCTATGMTAAATAAATTATAAAACTTATTTTAAAAATGTTCATCATATATGATGCGGAGAGGAACATTGCGCGGACTGACCGGGGAAATCTCCAGTCAGTCTGCCTTGTGGTATTAATTAACAAGTGCCAAAAAAATAATCAAAGTTTTTCTGACAATTAATTGCACATGATACAATTTTGCCCAACCGTACTAGAAACCATCTAAATATAAAGAGCACAGCTGTTTTCTCAGTAGAATGCAGTAAAAAAAATTAAATAGAGATGGGAAGATCTTTAGGTAGAGAGGCTATCAGAGTGCACAACAAATAGTACTTCAGTACATTACTCTGTAACGTCATCAGAACATTTATTATCTAGGTCACTGGTTACATGAGAAGACATGACAAACCTAATCTAACGGGTGACACACCAAACTGAATTAAAGCGGCGAGGCTTTCTAAACGCTGTACCATAAACTCTTCTGACAGCTTTTGTTAAAATCTTTTATACAACTAGGATTAAGTTACTCTTTCTTTTTTGATTTATGGTCACAAATTCATCACATACACTTCAATGAYAAAAGCAGATAGTAAAGCTAAAACGTTTAAGCTGATTAGAGGTTATGCATCGGTCTAAGACAGATATGTCAAGAATATTAAAGAATTAGCTCTGCTTAAATTTACAGAAGTCAAAACTTTATTAATTAATAAACATCAGAATATTGGGTTAGCTAATTCGGAATCCCTTAAGAAATATGGTAATTAAAAAAATACCAAGTCTGTTAACTTGCTCCTGTAAAGTAAATGAAGAAATAATGTGACTCAAGTTTTATGAACAAATCAGCTGTTAATCATTTTCAAAATAATTGCACATAGTCTCTTTATGTTAATCAAGTAATGACTGGGAGATCTAGAATCAAGTAATGACACATTAAATATTAAGCAATTTGACAGCATCCAAACCAGAAAATTATCTGGCGCATCAACCAACAAAAACAAATGTTTTTTGGTAAGTGTTGGTCAAATAAAATCAGACTGAATTAGTGAGCTGTTTGTCCCGAAGGATTTAGGTGATGTTTTATCAGTAACAGAACAGCTGATAATTCTTAAAGGGATTCCCAATTAGTTGTAACATTAGACTTTATTTGATAAACATATATTTTAACTGTAAAATAAAGACTGTAAAAATACTGTAGCCTGTTTAGTTTTGTACATTTTTAAAAAAATATCTTAACACGGACGGAGCCATTTTATTTACATGCAAAGCATTCTGGTTAAATGATGACGTGGGTAGGTCATCGGTGTGAGGCTGCTAGCGAGCTATATCCACCCTGAAGGTTAATCTTGGACAACATCTGACGATCGACTCTTTAATGAAACCAGAGAGCGTTGACAGAGAGGAGAAGGTAGAAATGACTCAGCCTTTAACTGAAAATATAGATGGAGGACAACAGAGCTGCTTCATGGAAGAAGAACCTCAGTTTAGCCTGTTAGCCTTTGTGCTAGAACTGACACTATATTGCCTTATATGTATTAGCCCGGTGCTAGTGCGACAAACAAGCTAAAGTGAGGTCCTCCATCCATATTTTTAGTTGCAGGCTGAGTCATTTCTACCTTCTCCTCTCTGTCAACGCTCTCTGGTTTCATTTAAAAGAGTCGATCATCAGATATTGTTCAAGATTAACCTTCAGGGTGGATATAACTTGCTAGCAGCCTCGCACCAATGACCTAGTTGACATCATTTACCCAGAATGCTTTGCATGTAATAAAATAGCCCCGTCCGTGTAATATATTTTTAAACTTTTAGCTTAAAAATGATAAAAGCTAAACATTCTACAGTATTTTTAGTCTTATTTTACAGTTAAATATATATGTTTATTAAATAAAGTCTAATGTTACAACTAATCAGGGATCCCTTTAAGGTGCAAAAGAACACCTCCTTCTTTTTACAGACAAAATAAATGATTTCACTCAAAGCAAAAAGTTAAAACGTGGCCAATCCTATGGGTTTGGAAATCTCTCAGTTGGGTTAATGAGAGAAACAACAGGTGGCTACATCTGACTTGTTATTCCTGTTTTTAAACACTACACTATGCTGTCAGACCTGTTAGCCAACTATGGTTGAATGAGCACCCCCATAACTCCCCTGAATRTGCTGTTTCTAACCAGAAGTTTACTTAAAAATGAAGCTCAGCCAATAAAATAATTTACTATCATCTTCACCACTAGCAGAAACGCCATCATTAATTGCACTTATCCAATCTCTTCAGTTTACTTCCGTTTGATAACATTTTAAGCTTTAGTATAAGTAACACTGTTTTTAACCCCTTGTTGCATCACTTGCATTCATGCTAATCTTGTAGTTTAATCAAGATTTAGTTATAAGAGTCAGATGCCCCAGAGTTCAGCCCTGACATAATCCAGTCTTTTGTCTCAGGAGCCTCTGTAGAGGGGCTCCTGAGAGGAAGATCTGATTTAATTTGAAACACTGCTGCTGTTTGTTGAACTCAGGAGGCTTTAGCGACACTTGTCCGGGTCTGCATCATCATGAATCCTCCCAGCAGGCGGACGGATGAATGAATCCTCTGTATTGGGACTACCACACCCACTCCAYAAAAAACAGAAGCCAACACCGAGCTTGCCTGGCAAGTTTAACGATAACTTTAGCTTATTTCATTGTGTGTGTGTGTCTGTATGTGTGAGTGTTAAAGAGGAAATAAAACAGAAAAGACACTCCACGATTCAAACCTAGTTGTCAGAAAGAAGATGCCATTTACGGAAAACGAGTTTGGCTAGCGTTTGTGACTAATAATACTGAAATAAGTTACTTGTTTTTAACACAGACAACTAAAAATTTAATGAAAAGGACTTGGAAGCTGTTTTTATGTCTTTCAAAACGACAGCGAGTTCAGTTTGACATTCAAACCTGAGCGCATCCTATTTCATTCAACCTCCTGTTCTGACAGGCTAGCTTGCTAGCTGCAACTAAAAAAAACAAAACAAAACAGGCGTTTGCAAAGTAGCTGAGTAGCAACTATTACCTTATCAATGAGCGTATATCCTCCTTAAAGTGAAGRCTTTGCGTCCTGGACACAAATAACACAGTTTCACAGTCAGTTTGTCTTATACTGGAGTCCGTTTCTGCCTGCTTCTCTGGCCACCTCGCTCCCCTCCTGTCGCACCATAATCTGACGACTGATTGCACGTCGTTTCGGGCTTCCGATTGGCTTAAACCTGGTCACGTGGTGGTGTCAGCTCCGCCCCTTAACATTGAGCTGCAAACATTAGCTAAATTTAAAAAAATAAAAGTCGGTGAAAAAAATGACAACACGATGAAATTCTAACAAGACTGTGAAAAAAGGCAGTTGCATGTTTACTCACAGAAAACAAACTCCTTTGTGATATTTAACTAAAACAACACTGGTAACATCACAGTATTACAGTATACCTATAAGCTGATTTATGAAACCAAATTTTGCATTACAAGAATGTATCTAATAATTGTACAATACTACTCCAAATTATGACTTAACATCTCATATACGAAATTTATTAGTAGTATATTAGTCTATAATTCTGAAATACAAATTTAAGTAAGTAAGTAAACAAAGTCACTGAGTCAGATTTAGGTAAATATAACTACACTACTTGAATCGATYTCTCTAGTGTAMGGGGAAAAAAGTCAAATTAATACAGTAAAAGACAAGTCTTTATTTTCACAATTAAAAAAACAAAATGAGTTTTGTTAAATGATACAAATTTTTATGGAAAACAATGTATAACGGAAGCTTTAAAGGTTCTATTGTTGGCCTTTCAAACAGGTAGAACAAGTAGGGTAACGGTTGCACTAACCAAACGTGCAAGGCAAGTACACAGGAGGTGGACAACAGAACAGTGGCTGATGACATGAAACCAACACAGTTTTTACAAAATCATCACTTTGCAAAGTTTTATTTTGCTTCCTGGGCTGACATAAAAAACAGTTTTCCTATGGAACAACACAAATAGAAATCAGCACGCTGCACAAAATCTCTGTTGAGTTCTTTATCAAAAATGATGTGGCCAACTCCACAGCATATTTTATCGATTTTACTGTGACCTTAAATTAACTCCTGTAAGGCACCACTTGAATTTAACAACAGGACTGATGTGTTGGATGGTCCCAAGCGGACGTTGGCTTGATAAAAACAAAAGGGGGTATTTCTTATTTTGGCCTGTTCCAGAAAGTGAAAATAAAAAAACAGAACTGAGTGACAGAGATGGCAAATAAATAATTTACAACTAATTCAGAAAACGGAAGGAAGACATGGTCTTTAGTCATTCTGCTGCATACATTTAAGGAAATACAGTACAATAAATATTAATGGACTGTGGGCAAACTGGAGAACGTGGGGAGACATACAGTTTACATTCGACTTAAACGTACATTTCTGTATGGCAAAAAAAAAATCTATAAAAAAAACAGTCAGAGCTGACTTGTTGATGACCTGAGGTCATACTTCCATAAAAAAAAAAAAAGAGTGTCCTGGGACAGCATTTCCCAGGAGAATCTCTCAGATGTATATCTATTTTTTAAAAAAATTACCTCACATTCATAACCGACCATCTTCAAGAAGTCTGAGTCCATTTTAAAGTTTCAATCACATTTAACACTATGTTAATTTGGATAATTGTGACATGCTGTGATCAGCTCATATAAACACCTCTAAACAAAAAGACATTTGAAGTGTTTCTTTTTGTTATRTCATAAGTAAAGTAAATGAAATATGCTCCCAAATGTCTTTTAGCATCATTGTGGGGTGAGTTAAGGAGTCGATGCGAAAATGAATAAAAACTAAAAAGTGGGGCGGATATTGCAACACACTCAGGAACGTGAGCATCACCAGGTGACTCGGTCCACTTTTATTCTGATAAATGCCAGGATGCATTTTCCCCTTGAGATTATTTATTTTAACTAAACTGGAAAAAGAAAGGTCCTGAATCTGGAGAGAAAAATAAAAAAAAGTTTGTTAAAAGAATGTACATCATTTAAATAGTTATTTTAATTATATAAAAACATACCTGAACTGGAATCAAAACTAAATCCTCCATTATGACCACCAAAGAAAGCCCTAAAGATGTTGTTTGCATCAAAATCTATACAGATAAAAACAACACAAAAGAAAAGAAATTTAATGATTAGTTAATACTTATAATTTATGCTGACACTGACATTACTGGTTTAAATACATATACAATCCACTAAGTCATTCAATATAATAAACACCAAATAGAAAACGTTTCAAATATACTGTACATTTATTTATCAACCTATTAAAACTTCCCTAATGACTATTTATCCTAGTCAGCGTCAGAAGATTGGCTTTAAACTTGGAGTAAACAACTACAGTTACAGGTGGGACAGTTTTGAACTTCTGGTGCCCTCTAACGGTAGAACTAATTCTACACAAGATATCAAGGAACCTGTGAGTCACTGTGTGCAAATAAGAATAAAATATCTGGCTTAAAGTTACAGCTTTCCAACATGTTCATTATCACGCTGCATCCAAATCAATGAAGGAGAAGAGAACTTTTAACTATTTGTTTTTATTTTACATATACACTGCTTTTAATTTTGACTGATGAAACTTTCACCAACCAATGTGGAAATAAACTGAACAAAAAACAAAAAGTCAAAAAACCTTCCGGCKACCAATAATGCTTCTGTTTCTCCTTCAAAGATCACTGTTCTGCTCATCCGCTTTTAACTAAAGCTAACTGTGTGAAAACCTGATGAGCACCAGTCCTGATAAAAACCTCCTGAAAAAGACCCAGAATTTTATGAAGAAATAAATGTTGCACACTGATAAGATAYGTTGGAATTATAGCAGTTCTGGCCAAATCGTAAAAAATAGCACGTGCAGTCAGCTCTCGTGCTTATGAGCGACGTCCAGATCAAATTGCAGCTCAATATCTGTAAAACTGACAGCATTATAGCCATTTTTGTGTTTGCTAAGGGCGATYAGCTGTGGTGGCCATCTTGAATGGGGCTCACTCAAAAAGTCTATTCACTTAACTGTTTTTACAATGATTAGTTTCTGAGTTTTATTAAAATGTATCCAGTTGTCATGAGATTTTTCACAAACATTACAAAAACAAACCCGACACAGGCTAAAACAAACGCCTGGCACCGTAAATGAAAAGCATTTACCTCCACCATCAAAGCAGCCATCATCCTCCAGGTCGTGCCCATTGTCGTAGCGGATCTTCTTCTTCGGATCCGAGAGGATGGTGAAGGCTTCGCCCACTTCTTTGAACTTTTTCTCCTCCTCCTTTTGCACCTCTACAGTTGCTGCACTGTGGCGGTCTGTGAAACACAGCAAGTAGAAGTTGACACTTTAGATACAAAAAATAAATAAAAACCTATAGCAAGTAAAGAACCTGCCCTCAGTTTGATACCTGGGTGATGCATGAGGGCTCTTTTGCGGTACGCTTTCTTGATCTCGTCCTCCGTGGCGTTCTTGCAGACGCCCAGCACCTTGTAGTAATCTTTCCTCTTGCTCTTCTTCAGCTCCAGCTGTGCCGTCTTTAGCAGCTGCTTGTGTTCTTAAGTGTCACAAAACAGATGAGTTTGTGTGTGAACCTGCATACGTCTGTTAACACAACCACCGTGACGTCTTACCTGAAGTTTTTTCGGTCTGGTAAACTTTTTCATAGTCCCGTACAGCCTCTTCATACTGCTCAGTGTCCATGTAGCTACGAGGGGGTCACATAAAATCACTGAAAAACTGCACAGAGCTGAACAAAACACACAAAGCAGGAAAGAAATTAAGCTAGAAGTGTGTGCTTCACATACCACTGAGCTCTTCTTAAGTAGGCCTTGATGTAAGAGTCATCTAGTTTGATTGCACTGGTACAGTCGTCGATGGCTTGATTCAGTTTCTTCAGCTGTTGAGAAGTTTAACGGTTAATGACGGGGAACTGACTGACGGCCAAGAGCGATTATTAATACTYACAGTCGGTTCTAAAAGCCTCTCACACAGTTGTTGGCTTTTATTTTTTTATTTTTGGTGAAACTGTCCCAGTCTGTGGAGTAATATAAAAGTGCATCACTAAAGCTGACTTGTTACCTTTGCTCCTGCCGTGGCTCTGTTGCAGTAGAGTTTAGCGTTGGTCTTGATGTTGTTGGGGTCTATCGCCAGCGCCTCGGAGTACAGCAGGTAGGCGAATTCATAGTTGTTGTTTTTGAATGCCTTGTTCCCCTCCTCCTTCTTGGCCTTTAAAGCTTTGGCATTCTGGTTTGGGAAAAAAACAGACAAAAAATAAATAAATAAAAACACTTATTCTTGTCTTATAACGTTTAAAAAAATATCTCACAGTTACATTAAAGCCCAAGAAAAGATGCTCCTTTTATTTCAGCAAGTTTGAAGTTGCACAAAACTACAATGAGCTCCTTTGTTATGTGTGATAGATGCCAGGTCTAAGTACATATTTAAGAGAAAGATAAAAGCTAGTTTTTTGAAGGTATATGGAAAAGTATAGCCTGGCCCTTGCCTTCCTACACAGCTCCGCTCAATTCTAGTTTCCCTTCACTGCTCCGTCTGGGGCTTCTCCCATTGAGATGGATTTCGCTGGCAGATTTTTAGCCGGGCCAATCAGAGAACAGAACGTCAATTTTCTGTGCAGTGTCTGCTTGTAGTTTATTTTACCTGGGCCAATCAGCAAACAGAAGAAGAAGTTTAAATGACATCGACATTCTGCGCAGTGTCTGCTAGTTATTTTAGCATACGGCAGTGGAGGAAGTGAATGAAGCCAGTCTGTGTTGATAAGGCTTCCAAATTAAAATAAATTTGTCTGACAAAGCAGCAGCTCTCATTTACAGTCGTCTCGTTTGGCTCGGTATATTTCTCCTCTCAGTAGGGTTGTTTACAGCACACGCGATTTCTGGTTAGCTTCTTAGCTTAGCCTCCGTCACAGCGACATACGTCGCAGCCAACTGATCCAATCATTTTAAACTTCAGCAGAGGCCACGCCTCCTGCAAGAAATGCTTTTTCTATTCAGCAAGTCCAGACCCTTGTACGAAGCAAAGTGAAGGACAGGGTCTGGTTTAAACCAGGCTAGGAAAAGTAAATGTGAATCTATATTAGGGCTGAACGATTTTGGAAAATAATCTAATTCCGATTTTTTATCTATAGATTGCGATTTAATATGCGATTATTTTTTAAATGTCTTCTCAAGTATTTTCCAAACAGAAGCAATAAATCAATCTGTATTATAATAAACAAAGTAAGATTTATATAAAGCATGGATTACAATAAAACAAACAAATCTGTGGCTTTACCTTTTCACCATTTCTAATTTTTCTTGTTTCATGAAACATATGAAACATGTTAAGTGAACTCCCTAAACACTGTCTGAACTTCACAGGACAGTCTATAAATAAATAGAAAAAATATAAATATAAAAAGAATAAAGCTTACTGCTTAGATCCACATTACATAAATTTGTGATAATCTTAAAGTGTATCTTACACATCAAAATTAGCACAGAAACAGTACTATATAACATTATAGACACATTCTAGACAGTTTATCAGCTAAAATAACGTTAATTTTGGGGTAAGTTACTCTTTAAATTTAATCTGCAGACTGTTAGATGTCACGAGACAGGGAGGACGAGGTGAAGTGACTGATGTGCGAGTCAAACACAGCTGAGTCCAGAGATTTATTTTACAGAGACAGTACCAGAGAAAAAAAAACATTACATTAAGAAGTAAATTTAAAAATTGCAAAAATAATTAAACTGTTTTGGGATAAAGCACAAAAGGAAAAACGATTTGGTCCCAATTGGGAACTTCTCAAGTCTGAAGTGGGCAAATATCTCAGAAAATTTGGTAGTGACAAAGCCAAAGCCAATAGAGACGAAGAAATAAATATTGTGTCCAGAATTTCTGAGCTCTCTCAAATTAACTTCTCTAACTCTGATATAGTACAGCAAGAATTAACTGAGTTACAAATTAATTTAGACAATTTTTACTTAAATATAAGTAAAGGAGCCTTTATAAGGTCAAGAAGAAAATGGCTTGAGGAGGGAGAACAAAACTCTCACTATTTTTTTAATCTAGAAAAACATAATATAACTAATAACTCCATTAATAAACTGAAAATTAATGACTCTGTTACAGATAACTCTGAATCCATAGCTAGATTTTGCAGCACCTTTTATGAAAATTTATACAGTTCTCATTTCTGCCAAACTTCGATCAATGACCTTTTGAACTCCCTGAAAATTAAACAAATATCTAGTATAGAACAACAACAATGTGATAAACCGATCACATTACAAGAAATATTGGATGCTACTACCCATCTCAAAATTACTTTGATGCATGCTTCAAATTTAGCCTTGGGGCGGAGTTATCTTTTCACGGGGGGGTAAAATATACTTTAAATATCTACATTTGCTATAGAATAACAAACAGAAGGAACTTACCCTGCAGGCTAGCCGGGCTTTTTCGTGGTCAGGAGCCATTTTCAGAGCCTGGACGAAGAACTGCACTGCTTTCTCAATGCAGTCCTCATAGTAAAGACAAAGGCCTCGAACGTAAAGAGCATCTGCGTTAGTGGAGTCCATCCGCAGGATGTCACTGCAGAAAAAAAAAAATCTAATAAAGTACTTAAAATGACATTTTACACTGTTCTGAAAAGAAACAATAGAAAACAAGTCAAATAATAATATAAAAGGTATAAAATGTAAAAGGTAAATTTGTTGGAGAAATAT